CTCACTTGGCTATGAAACTTATTGAATGACCTTGGGCCAGTCACTATATCTCAGCCTAACCTACCTCACAGGGTTGTTGTGAGGATAAAATTGTGTGCTTAAGGGCAGAAGAACCTTGGGTGCTGCTCTGAGTTTTGTTTTGTTTTTAGAAAGGGCCATATAAAAATGTAACATAAATACAGAAGAGGAAAGCAAGGTCTAGCTTCTTGTGTCTAATTCCCCCAGTGAGAGAGATATTTGGAACATCACAGATGAATCTCCTGAAACTGGAAAGCTTTTGAGTGTTGGAACTGGGCTGCTTTATGGTTTTCTGTTATGCTTTTGGTAAAAGACACAGGCTATGATACATTTAAAGGACAGAGAACGAACTCTGCATTTAGGAATTGCTACTTTCAACACAGCTGCTTCCATTGCAGAAGAAACTTGCCTCCTCTGCAGTGGGAGATGCTAAAACAGATGTGCAAGGGTAGACAGCAGGGTGCCCTCCTTTTCTTGTTTGACCACAACACCCATCAGTCCCTCCCATCATGGCCTGTGGTCAGGATGGTGAGAGCTGCCTCCCATAGCATTATGTGCAGTTCTCTCTGTAGCAGCCGCCGACCTCAGGAGTATAGGGTGAGGTTTGTGAGCATAAGAATTATCTTGTTGGTTCCCACCAAGGCCAATGGGTTGTATCCAATGTAGCGCTGAATTAAAATCACTTAGCAGTATACTTGTCTCTGCTACTGAAATGTTTTGCACCAGTGTAACATAGTTGTGCAAGAGGCATAAGTAGGTTGCTCACCTCTCCACTACAGCCTTGGCGCTAGCAGGCAGCAAATGTTGGGTACAACTGGAGCTTTGCTTTCAGTCCCTGGCTCCATCTGATTTACCACTGTTGGGAAGAAGAGGCTGGGACTCTGGTGTGATCCAGCAACACAGTTCTTAGTTCCTAAACCTCCTTCATTGTCCTTAAGTAGTTTTAAGGCTGGCCTTGTTGGTTCATCATCGTGCAGGTGGTCTTTCGCCTCCCGCCTCTTCAAGCTGGGCTTCTCATCTCCTGTTTCACTCACCTGTATTCAATTATCATTTCCGAAATAAATGAAAGTTTCTAGGTTTTCAGATGTGATTTAATAAAAAGAACCCTTGGGGATGACTGACATTTGGTGTCCTTTGTTCTTTTCACTACACATACCTTGTTTGCTATGCACCTTGTTTATCAACCACCCTCTGCATTGTTCCCATTATACAGGAATTTAGGAGACTCATGTTTTCATTATACAGAACACAATTTACTTATTTGGAACATACAGAGTCAGTGTAGTGGTAAGAATGTTAGACTGGGACCTGGAAGACCAGGGTTCAGATTCCCCACTGGGTGACCATGAGCCAATCCCTGTCTCCCAGCCTAACCTACCCCACAAGGTTGTTGTGAGGATAAAATGGGAAGGAGGAGAACCCTGGGTAACACCTTGAGCCCTTTGAAGAAAAAGTGGGCATAATCAGATTTTAATGAAAAAGCTATGTAGGTCAACTTTTCAATCTGTTAAAGCAACTCACAGGAGAATAGTATGATGATATAATTTGCAAGTGGGGACCTATGTTTTGGTTTTGTTGAGAGCAAAGCATCTTCAAGTCCATGCTGAAGCATCTTTCTGGGCATTATGTGTTTCCAGGATCCAAACTAGTTCTGCCTACCTGAGCATGCTATTGGGTGTTTCTAGACAGGAGAGCTTCCTGTTTGGCCTGGGACTTTGCACGCACAGCAATAGTCTTCCTGGCAAGGGTAACCAACATTGTCCCTCCAAAATTGGTGGACTCCAGCTGCCATCAGTGCCAGCTGACCAATGGTGAGGAATGATGAGTCATTGAGCAACAGCAGGAGGCCATCATATTAGCGACCCCTTCTCTAGTGTATTTGTTTGCTTCTGACTTCATTGTTCCTGCCTTCTAGCATCCCTTAGTTGCCTACAGCTTAGCCCTCGTAGACATGCACTTATTCACATGGCAGCCATTTATATATCAGTCTTAAACACACCATTCACATGCACCTTTTTTCTGTGGCTTTCTCTCTCCTCACCCTAGGAAGACCCCACTGCCTTAGGACTTGTAGAGTATCTCTAAAAACAGCAACACAGGTGCAGCCGCAATGTTAGCGGATATTCCATTGTATTCCAATGTTCGAGTCAGTGACCCTGGAGCCCTAGAACTAGCAAGGCTCCAAACATGACCGCTTGTGTTTACTTCCACCCCACCCCCTTTATTTTATCAAGCTTCTCTTATCAGGAAGGGACTGTAAATTGGCAGAACTTCTCATTTCCTGTAAAGTGACACATTTACATGTCTTTAAGCCAACATGCCTTAATCTGATACTTCATGTATTGTTATACTTGGTGCCTAAAATAGAATCCAAAGTTGGCTTTGCCTTAGTGATCTAGATACAGACTAGATTCCAGCTTGTTGACAATGCAGAAAAGCTTACATGTGGCTTACTGAAACTGGGTTGACCTTAGCAAAGGTGTGGCTTCACTGACCCAGTGGTTGCTTCCATCTGTGAGCTTGGTTTCAGAGGGCGAAGCAGAAGAGGATGAAGGGAATCCCTTTTGCTGACCTGAATCTGGAATGTTAAGTGGCTTTGAGTCCTGCTCTTCACCCTACAGTAGGCTTAGCTGCCAGATGTTGTCTTCCAGTGGTGTCTCTGGACGAAGCATAAAGAACCATTGGAACACAACAACACAATATTAATTTGCAGATTTATCAAAGAAAGTGAAAGCGGGGGTTATTAAGGAAATAAAATTGAACATTATAAAATAGAGAAATAAAAAAAAGTGAATAATACTAATACTGTAGTATCAAAACACACACCATCAATTCACACTATGGATGCAGTAACCATTAGTAAATTCAGTTTAAGAGAAACAGACACGTTAATATAAGCCCACATTCATACTGTAGCAGGAAACCCCCCCACCCCAATCATTCTGTTTGTACAAACTTAACACACACACACACACTACATACGCCACATTTCTGTTATAAATTCATAGAAAATCAACCATACATCGGATTTGCACTGTTCCATTTTTTATTTTACTCCATATGACAAGAACTAACAAAGGGGGGTGACTTATTCCTGGTCAGCCATAATCCCTCCACATCCCAGCACATCTGCAGGAGCCCTGCCCAGATGATCCCAGACAGAAGACAATCAAGATCACAAAGAACTTGCATATGGGAGTGGATTCAGCATGGACTGAAACAAAGGACAATGATCAGATCTTCCCTCAGGGGGCAGGAAACTGCAAACTCCCCTTTGTCTCCTGGAAGTGACTCATGGGGAGGGGGGAAAGGAGGAACCAGCCAGGTGACAAGATACTCAGGTTGCCACCAACTCCTCCCTCAACCCCTCCTTTCTGTAATGTATGCATGATGTTTCTGGGGGTGGGCTTGACCTAGAGGAGGGGAATTTCAAAAGTTTTTATAAGACCTGGCACACTATTTTTCTGGGTCTTTCCTCTCTCCTGCAAGTGAGGGGAACACCCTGTCGCGACAGTCTTTCTTCAATAAAGACCAGGCCTACAGGCTGCTGATTTGCTTCAATTTGCTCTGGTTGGTGCTTTATTTTTGTCCAAGGGAGCCCTAAGATTTTTCCTGTAACAATACCACAATCATACCGTGATGCCGCTTTAAATAGTCCCAACAAATTCAGGGAGCTGCAGCTTGCTAGGTGTGCTGAGAGTTATTAGGACACACACACACACACACACACACACACACACCCTGTTCACCTCACAGAGCTGCAAATTCCCAGAATTCCCTGTGAGGAGGGATTGATTGTTAAACCACTCTGAGAATTGTAGCTCTGGAAGAGAAACTGGAGTCTTCTCACAACTCTCAGCACCCTTAACAAAGTACAGCTCCCAGGGTGCCTTGTGGGAAGCCATGAATGCTTAAAGTGGTATCATAGTGCTCAGTATGAGCAGTGTAAATATGGCCCAGATGTCCAAATAGGTGTCCACATGAAACTCAAGTTGATAAGAGATAAGTTCAAATGTGGCCAGGGCTGTGACAATTCTGACAATTCTGTAGCAGATGCTGGTTATTTATTTTTCCAGGCTCACAAGTATGTATACGTTTCTTAGCAACCATAAGGGCTAACAAAGTCCTCTTTTTTTTTGTCCTGCCATTTAATCCCCATAGTACTGGGATATAATTTTTAATGTACATATGTGAGGATTAATAATTTTGCCAACAGCTACATAATGGATGTGGATAGCCACATTGTCTGCCTCAACACAACAGCTGCTTCAGCGAGGCATTACAGCATAAAGAATCCAAGTTTACGCAGTGGTAAATACCAGATACTGTAAATTAAAACAGAAGTGCTCCCCGCCCCACCACCCCAAATACTGCTCAGGGTGGAGTCCCACAGGAGGTAGATGATGTGAAATTGTCTCATCTGGGAGGTGGAATTGATAGAGGATTCAAAGGGCAGTAGATATTGGACACAATATCAAAATCTCAGCCTGGCAGAAACTATGGAAGAGAATGATAATTTTTTTTGGCTTGCTCCAGATGAAGGAGAATATATTAAAGATGGTGTATAAGTGGTACCTGACACCAACAAAAGAGCAATGGTTAGATAAACTGACCAGAGTTCACAGAATTAGTGAACATGACCACTAAAATAAGGGATTGTGATGAAGGGAAGACAAGGGCTGAGTGGGAATACTTCAGAGAATATTTAAAAAGAAATGATATTACAACTGATCTGCAAGAAGGGGCAGCATTTTGAACAACAGTAAGATAAAATCAAGGAATTGGTAGAATTAAAATAAGGTGAAGAAAACAATGGAAATGCAGCAAACCAAGACTTTATTAGAATGCCACTGAAGGTTAGGTTGGGAAGTCTAAAAAAAATAGTGTAAGATAAAATGAGTAAGGCACACTGTAAAAACCAAAAAAGGATAAATAAAAATAAAAAATACACAGTGGGGGGGAAATGAAAGGATACTCTGAGGTAGGGATGGAAGGACAAATTGGTTTCTGTTAAATGCAAACTGACCTAATTTGCACTTCCTGAAACTAAATGCTGACTGGAAAGGCAGCTATCCTTGAAATTTCTCACTTTGCCAGATTCTACAATGTTACTATCCAGCCCAAAAATGTGCACAGTAACACACATTAGGGGCAGTGGGGCATATGAATGCACAGGTGGGTGAGAATCACATACATAAAATGTGTTATACCAGGAAAAGTCAATTGGAAAAATGCATATATATTAGGAGACAGGGTCATTAAGATGCCGATGAATTTTCATGAGGATTTGAAAAAGGCAGTGTGTGTGATGCAGAATTGTGGCAAACAAGACATATTCATCCACCTGTATTCTGAGGGTGCTCCATGAGGGGATAATGGTGCTTCCCCATGGGGCATCTGGTTGGCCACAGTAAGAACAAGATGCTGGACCAGATGGGCCACTGGGTCCTCTTACATTGTTAGCAAGCACAGGTGAAATGTGGAAGGGTTGTAGCCCAGCGGTGGAGGATATGCACCTTGCCTGCAGAAGGTCCTGTGTTGAATCCCCAGCATCTCCTGGTAGGGTTGGGAGAGACTCCCTGCCTGAAACTCTGGAGAGCTGCTGCCAGTCAGTGAAGACAACACTGTGCTAGATGGTCTTATTCAGTATAAAGCCGTTCTTAAATTGTCAGTTCATAACCGCAAGACATGTGTTAATCACTCTCCACAAGCCAGTGTTACATGCACTCTTAAAAACAAATGCGTAACACAGACACCTTTTGAAGGCAAAAGCAGGAAGAGGAAACTGGTAAAAAAAATGCACAGAATGAATAGGAAGTATCAGGGAGGGGGAGTGCATTGGTTTCTGCTCCCTACCCTCTTATCATACATCTTTCAGCGTCTTTATGTAAATCCAGTGGAGCGATTTGAATTGCCAGGTGGCCAAGTTGAAAAAGAGGCATCCCAGAATGCTGTTGGCTGGGCCTACGTGTCATTGCTACCGTCTCAAGCTAAGCTCGCCTTACAGAAAAGGCTTTTGTGCCTGCTTAGAGGCATTGTTGTCCGGCCACACTCCAGACACTCCCAACTAAGAATTTATTATCATGCCACCTCACTGTACCTACAAATCTTGGTCTTTTGAAAAGGGTTGTCTTGTGGCTCAGATGATGAGTCTTGGACCTAGGCCATGGGATGAGTCTTCTGAGAGCTGCCATATTTTATCAGGTTACAGGTAAATGGAATACACACACACACACAGAAACAAATTTTTGCTGAAAGCAGACCCATTGAAATTTGACCCATTGCAGCAGTTTTTGTTCTTTTAGTAAAAACAAAATGAAGCGCTGGTGCTCATCTACTGATAAAAGTGCTGTGGGTGCCAGCACAAAATGGCTGCCATGGGCTGCATAGAAAGAGGTGGCAGTCAGTAGTGTCACAAAAAAGCCCTGCATCCAAGTTAGTCACATCAATTCCAGTGGGTTTACTCTAAGTAGGACTAACACTGGATACAGCCCTCCAAGTTGCCTCCAGCTAAATTCTACTCAGAGTGAACCACAGACTTGTTTAATTTAATGGACCTAGTCCTATTATCACAATTATTAGGGTTGTCTCCAGCTAAATTGTACTTAGAATTGATCTTGTTGAATTTAATAGATGTAGTCATAGTAATAATAATAAAAATAATAATATAATTTAAATATTTTGTGTAAACTGCTTAGAGTTTTTGTCACAATCAAATAGCAAAAAAATGTTGTTAACTACATTATTGTTGTTGTTGTTGTTGTTGTTGTTGTTGTTATATAACACAGGTTAGCCACTTGACAGTGGAAAACATCAAAGCTTGCAGGACATCAGTTGAATTGATATGAAAGTACATACTTGGGGCTGGTGGATAATAAAACCAGCTTGCTGATATATCCTTGAAGAACATGGGTGCCTTTTGCTAAAAAAAAACAACCAAGCACCTTTTCTGTTTTAAGACAAAATATATTTTTAAAATATTTTATTTTCTTCATCCGCCAGACTAAGAAGGGTTGCTACAGTCCCTAACTAAAAAGGAAATGTGCCAAGCAATAGTTTGCTCACACCCCTGTGTGTTATGGTTAATTAAGGGGTTAATTAATGTTGCCTCGGTGACTGTAAAGGCAGGAACTCTGCCTCCATGAGCTAACGAGTGATAAATGAGGACACCTTGAACTAGTCTGGACCTTAATTACCTATGAGATGTCCTTCCCATGAGACCATCACATTATTGAAGCTCTGTGGAGCGTGCCTTCTCAAGGATGCTACTTTGCACTTTAAGTCTGAACAGGAGTAACAGAACCCCTGGTGTCCTTGGTAGTTCCCCTCCAAGTCTGACCAAGAATGGGCATTCCTGCTAGTAACTCACCTATTTAAAACACTGTTTGGAGGTCCTCCAAAGTGTGAGCCTTTTCCTCCATCAGAGATTGGGTACATGTTGTTTCACCTGTGCTAACTGCTTACATTTTCCCTTTCATCTGATTCCTGTACTGTAAAGGCTTGAACCCTTAATAGAACTAGGTTGTTCCAAAGGACAGATCAGGGCCATAAAATACATGCTGGCATGGATGAATGGGCACTAGATTTCCCTATTTAAGAAAACATTCTTTGTGGGGGCTGGCTTTTTCTACTGGGTTGGTCAATATAACAGATGGGCGCTTGCATTATACAATCTTTGTATACAGCGGTGATAGCATGCTGGTTTCTGGACCTTAACTGACCCAACCTACTTCCAATACTGGGTAGAGTGAGATGGCACTTAGGTATGGGGTGAATAACAAAGCCCCAGACAAAATTTCTCTAAAACAAGTTGTGTTTTTCTTTATTCTTTATTCTTTATCTAGTAAGGCAATGTTTAGCAATTTTGAAGAAATGTATATTAGAAATAATATAATTTTACCCAGAACAGCAAATATTTTTTTAAAAAACCCAACAGAGATAAATTCATCCAGTTACATCAGTTCTATACTATTTTCAGTGTTCTAGCTCTCATACGGTTTGAAATATTTTTTATTTATTGCAGCTCTTCAGTTCCAGCTATGCAAGTTTTAATCTCTCTGACTCCATGACTGCATAGTAATAATTTATTATTTATACCTCACCCATCCGGCTGGGTTTCCCCAGACTAACTACCCTGTATTCTACGTTTTATCTCCACATACAAAATATTTTCATCCCCTCTAACCTTTTAGCCAAACAGGACAAACGTAGACTTCTGGTTAAATTTCTGTTTCTCCTTGATTGTCAGGTTGCTAAGATGGACTTTTGACCCTCCTGTGTAAAACTTCCTGAGCAAGGTATCCTCTTAAACTTTAACCTTCCTGTGAATTTTTGACCATCATATGCCCGAGAATATTTTAAGCCAAAAGGAACCATTTTATAAGCCACATTTTACAAACAAAAACTAACAGAAAATGGTCTATATACCTTCACAACACCTACAAATCTTCTCCCCCTCATTCATCTCTCTATTTTTGTGCAGGCACATTTTCACACACTTGTTTGGGAATTGTAGTGAAGGCGCAACGAAAGTCAGCATGTTGCCTAAGCAACCCTGGGATGCTCCTTTTCATTCTGTGTATGTAATGCCAAGAAAATTGGAACAGAAGTAACGAAGTCATGCATCTGGGGCTTGTATGCTCAACTTGGCCAGGAGGATCCAATCAACAAGATCCAGGGTATACCTAAACAAGTTCTAAACACAAACACAAAACAAAGAATCCACTCAATGAACAAGGAGAGTCTGAAGTGGATTAGTAAGCAATCCCTTTTATTAGGGAACTCTGAGAATTGTAGCTATGGGAGGGGAATAGAAGATATCTCTTAACAACTCTCAACTCACATCACAAATTTCAGCTTCCAGAATTCTTTGGAAGAAATCATAACTTGGCATGGAAATATCTGCCAATTTCACTTCTCTGTTTTTCGTTTTTCCATTCTTCAGTTCTCTGGATTCAACAACATTTTAGTGTGATTTTTTCACAATAAACACATTTTTATATGCAGATTTGATGAATATACACATTATTTGCAACACAATGTTCACTAACAGTACGTTTTTGTATGTTATTTTCTGTGCTTTTTTTCTAGTAAAATAGCACTAAACCAACACCATGTTGTTACAGTAAGTGACACACTTTTAACAACAACAAAAAGAGGTGCCAGTACTGCGTATCCTTGAGTAGCACTGGTTTAGGGAAGTTTTTAATGTTTGAGGTTCTATTGTGTTTTTAATATTCTGTTGAGAGCTGCCCAGAGTGGCTAGGGGCCCAGCCAGATTAGTGGGGTATAAAGAATTAAGAATAAGAATAAGAATAAGAATAAGAATAATGTTATTTCTCTAACACCTTCATTTTTATGTACACTTACCACTAATGTATGCATTTCTGTGAACATTGGTTGGAGAATTTCACTGCAAAGCTCAGGTAACTATGAAATCTGAAGGATAGCTGTGTTTCAGAAAGTATGAATGTGATAGATTTGGCTTTAAGTGAGCACTGGATCAAATTTCTCATCCATGCCTAGCCATGACTGTCAAAGCAGAGTAAGAGTGCTTTAAATGTCTGATACAGAAGTGGCCATAGAGGGATGAGTTGGCTCAAGCAGCCTGGTGGTGATTGAGTGGTATATGATGGGGGTGGCAGCCCCTCCTCCAAATGCCCCCTGAGCCCTCTAACCTCACCTGTTGATTTCAAGTGTGGTGAGGATACATTCAGATCTGGGGAATATTGGGCTAGTTTCCCTGAATATAATGCTGGTGCTTCTGTCCTATTTTCTAACATTCCTTTCATGCTGTAGCACATTTTGTCTTACAGAACCATGGCTTTTCGACTGATATGCTGGCATTTTAAGCTAAATTTCATCCACACCTTTGTGACACATCAATGAGCATCACTGGAGAATGCTGCAACTCCCCACACATTTTCTGCACAGAGGTGCTTTCATTCCCCCAGGATGTTCCCACTGAAGTGGGAGAAAAGAATTACATTACATGCTGGTATGCCACCCGAATTCCTGCAATTTTCTGGGTTGAGGCAGCTGCAACTGGATCCTCCCCCCCCCAAGGAATCAAATGGCACAGAAAGGAGTGTTAAGCATGTACTGTATTCTGTTAACATGTTATTTATCTTATTATTTATTTATTAAATTTGTATAAAGATCTCAGGGTGGTTCACAGCACAAAAATAAAAAATAAAAACACAGAATACATCATAAAAACAAGAACGAAAACAAAACACACCCCCACACACAAAAAAACCCCATTTAAAAGGTCACACAATGATAGTCAGCCAAAGGCCTGGTTGAAGAATAATGTTTCCAGAAGTGATTTTTACATCATGGGAAAGCTCATATACAATCTATCCTACTAGATAGATGCTGAGGCTATTCTCGCCAAAGAGCAAGAAGGATTTAGGCAAGGCAGATCTACTCTAGATCATTGCTTTGTCCTAGCTCATCTCATTAAGAGGTTCTTTAATTCCTCCTCACTTTCTGCCATCAAAGTTGTGTCATCTGCATATCTGAGGTTGTTGATATTTCTTATGGCAATCTTAATTCCAGTTTGAGATTCATCCATTCCAGCCTTTTGCATGATGAATTCTGCGTATAAGTTAAATAAGCAGGGAGACAATATACAGCCTTGTCTTACTCCTTTCCCAATTTTCCTCTGAATGAGGGTGAAAGAGGAGAGAACAAAATATGGTCTGAAGCTCAACATCAAAAAAACAAAGATCATGGCCACTGGTCCCATTACTTCCTGGCAAATAGAAGGGGAAGAAATGGAGGCAGTGAGAGATTTTACTTTCTTGGGCTCCATGATCACTGCAGATGATGACAGCAGTCACGAAATTAAAAGATGCCTGCTTCTTGGGAGAAAAGCGATGACAAACCTAGACAGCATCTAGCAGAGACATCACCTTGCCAACAAAGGTCCGTATAGTTAAAGCCATGCTTTGCCCAGTAGTGATGTATGGAAGTGAGAGTTGGACCGTAAGGAAAGCTGATCGCCGAAGAATTGATGCTTTTGAATTATGGTGCTGGAGGAGACTCTTGGGAGTCCCATGGACTGCAAGAAGATCAAACCTATCCATTCTTAAGAAAATCAGCCCTGAGTGTTCACTGGAAGGACAGATCCTGAAGCTGAGGCTCCAATACTTTGGCCACCTCATGAGAAGAGAGGACTCCCTGGAAAAGACCCTGATGTTGGGAAAGATGGGGGGGCACAAGGAGAAGGGGACAATAGAGGATGAGATGGTTGGATGGTGTTCTTGATGCTACCAGCATGAGTTTGATCAAACTGCGGGCGGCAGTGGAGGACAGAAGTGCCTGGCGTGCTCTGATCCACGGGGTCACGAAGAGTTGGACACGACTAAATGACTAAACAACAACAACAACAAACACATTTCATAGATAAGTATGGTAAGAAACCACATGATGTGATCTACGCAGCTTTCATTGACTCAACCATAGGCAAAAGATTACTGTACCTGATTAAATGCTTATACAAAGATACTGTGCTAAAGTGCGCTGCTCCACAAATGGTCAACTTACAGGATGTGTACCAGCTACAAAGGGAGTTAAGCAAGGGTGTATCCTAGCACTGTTCAACTTATATATAAATGACATTGTCCAGTGCCTAACATCTCCAGGGTATCATGCCCCTAAACTGGCCAGAAAACCCATCTCAATTCTACTATATGCAGATAAAGTGGTTCTCCTAGCTCATACAAAAGTAGGCCTAAAAAGACTGATCAGAGCATTTCCAGGGTATTGCCAGAGAGAACAGCTGGCCATGAATTACAAGAAAACCAAAGTCATGGTCTTCTCAAGAAACTATAGAGCTCCTAGATGGCATATGGACAACCAGCCAATCAAACGGGTCAAAGTTTTCAAATATCTTGACCTTATTTTCCAGTCCACAGGGTCATGGGGAGCACACCAGAAATGTGCAAAAGAAAAAGCGCCCCAAAGCACCAAAATTCTGACACGCTTTTCCCACACAAAAGGTTGCAAACATATAACCTCAGTTCTGGAAGTGTTCCAAGCTAAACCCCTAGCACAGCTATTATATGGGGCTCAGATTTGGACTGGCCCTCAACTGGCCTAAACTCAAATCTCTCTGGTCTAATACCCCTAGTGCAACAAGACTTTCACAAGAGTGCTTGGTCTAAAACTGTCAATCAAAAACTTCTCTCTTGTGGTTTATCCCCACAACCTAAATGATATCGAGCATCAGAACAACTTGGCCACCATAAGGAAATTTTGCCCATGGTATGACCATTTTCCATCCTCCCACTATGATTCTCTGGCATCCTATCTAGCAATTTAAAAATATAGACGTGCCTTTGCCCTCACAAGACTGAATGTACTGCTCTTGGCTGTGCTTGAGGGACGATTCCAACAGATTCCATACGAAAAATGCTTATGTCCCTGTGGAGATGGCAGCACCGAATCAGTGGCGCATGCCCTCCTAGCTTGCACTCTTTACAAAGACCTGAGGAACGAGATTATCGCCCCTCGTTTATTGTCCATTCTGGGTCACCCAGCCACTGCCACAGTGTCTTTTCTCCTGGCAGATCAAGAGGAACAGATCACTGCAAAGGTTGCAAGGTTCCTAGCTGGGGCAATCAGAATAAGGTCCACTATTTGACTGCTCATTCAGGACTCTAAACTGTGTTTTATATAATCGACTTTTTATTTTGTTCTGTGTATATTGCAATGTTCTTTTGTTGCTATGGCTGATGGCTGATGCAAATAAAGTTTCATTCATTCATTCATTCATTCAAAGTGGAAATTAAAGAGTTACAGAAACATTGGGGAAATGGATTAACCTGCATGTGAGTGTAGCCTAAGATTCAACTGTAAGTCTGTCTTCCTGACACTGACTGGCAGCAGTTCCTCTGGGTTAAATTATTTTGATTATGGTTATAATTATGGTTGTAATTATAATTATAATTATAATTATATATTATTAATACTGCGCCCATCTGGCTGGGTTTCCCCAGCCACACTGGGCGGATTCCAAAAAAAGATTAAAAATACATTAAAACATCAGTCATTAAAAAGTTCACTAAATAGGGCTGCCTTCAGATGTCTTCTAAACGTCAGATACTTGTTAATTTCTTTGACATCTGATGGGAGGGCGTTCCACAGGGCGGGCATCACTACCAAGAAGACCCTCTGCTTGGTTCCCTGTAACTTCGTTTCTCGCAGTGAGGGAACTGCCAGAAAGCCCTTGGCACTGGACCTCAGTTTCCGGGCTGAACAATGGGGGTGGAGACGCTCCTTCAGGTATACTGGGCCGAGGCTGTTTAGGGCTTTCGAGGTGACCACCAACACTTTGAATTGTGCTCAGAAACGTACTAGGCGCCAATGTAGGTCTTTCAGGACTGGTGTTATATGGTCTTGGCAGCCGCTCCCCGTCACTAATCTAGCTACCGCATTCTGGATTAGTTGTAGTCTCCAGGTCACCTTCAAAGGTAGCCCTACATACAGTGCATTGCAGTACTCCAAGCGGGAGATAACCAGAACATGCACCACTCTGGCGAGACAGTCCACGGGCAGGGAGGGTCTCAGCCTGCGTACCAGATGGAGCTGGTAGCTGCCCTGGACACAGAATTGACCTGTGCCTCCATGGACAACTGTGAGTCCAAAATGACTCCCAGACTGTGCACCTGCTCCTTCAGGGACACACACAGGGACTCCATTCAGGACCAGGGAGTCTCCCACACCCGGCTGCCCTCTGTGCACCCAAACAGTACTTCTGTCTTGTCAGGATTCAACTTCAATCTGTTTGCCACCATCCATCCTCCAACCGCCTCCAGACACTCACACAGGACCTTCACTGCCCTCACTGGTTCCAATTTAAAAGAGAGGTAGAGCTGGATATCATCCACATATTAATGAACATCCAGCCCAAACCCCCTGATGATCTCTCCCAGTGGCTTCATGTAGATGTTAAAAAGCATGGGGAAGAGGACGGAACCCTGAGGCACCCCACAAGTGAGAGCCCAAGGGTCTGAACACTCATGCCCCCCCCCCCACTTTCTGGACACGGCCCAGGATGAAGGAACAGAACCACAGTATAACAGTGCCCCCAGCTCCTCTAGATGGTCCAGAAGGATGTTATGGTCGATGGTATCAAAGGCTGCTGAGAGATCCAACAGAACTAGGAAACAGCTCTCACCTTTGTCCCTAGCCCACCAGAGATCATTGCCCAGCGTGACCAAGGCACTTTCAGTCCCATGATGAGGTATGAATCCCAACTGGAAGGGATCCAAATGGTCCGCATCCTCCAGATGTGCTTGGAGTTGTTCAGCAACCACCTGCTCAATCACTTTGCCCAAGAATAGAAGATTTGAGACTGGGCGATAGTTGGCCATATTAGCTGGGTCTAAACATGTTTTTTTAAGAAGCGGTTTAATGATCACCTCTTTCAGTGGGTCTGGGAAGGCTCCCTCACAGAGCCCATTGCCCCGCAGAACCCTGCAGAGTCCATCGCCCAGCCCTTCCCAGCTCGCTTTTATTAGCCAGGATGGGCAAGGATCAAGGAGACAGGGGATTGGTTTCACTCGTCCAAGCAGCCTGTCCACATCCTTGGAGGTAACAGATTGGAATTGATTCCATGCAACTCAACTAGAGTTGATTCCATGCAACTCAACTCTCCTGCCCCGGCCCTGCTCCCACGGCAGAGTCTACCTCTTTCCAAATCTGAGCGACTTTATTTGCAAAAAACTTTGCAAAATCATTGCAAGAGATCTTGGGGTCTTTACCAGGCCAGAATGCCAAAGGTGGTTCCATTAAATTGCAAACCATCTGAAAGAGTCTCCTGCTGCTATTTTCTGCAGATGCAATAGAGGCAGTGAAGAAAGTCCTTTTTGCTGTCGCTATCGCCACTTGGTAGGCTCGACGTTGAGCTCTAACCCGTGTCCAGTCCAATTCAAAATGAGTTTCCTGCCACTGGTGGAATTATTATTATAATTATTATTATAATTATTATTACAGACAGGGCTCCTTCCCACCCTACCTGATGATGCCTGGTATTTGAATCCAAATCTTCTGGCACGATAAGGCATGTGAGCTTAGCTATGGGCCTCCTTACCTAGGGAAAAAGGCTGACTTTGTCTGTCACTGGAGCCCTCCCTCCCTCCCTCTCTTCCCTCCTTCCCTCCCGGTTTGGCACAGGTGACTGCTCACCTGCCATACTTAGAAACAGGAAAAGAAAACACCATCTCCTTGACCCTCAATTGTGCATGCATCAAGGAAATTCTTGCTTGACATGCTCCACTAGGGAAATCGCCTTGCCAAGGCCCCGGCTTGTAAACAAAACCTGTGGGCAGGATGTGCCAAAGAGGTGTTGCTCAACTGGGCGTCCACGACACAGAAATGGGCAGGCAAAGCAGAGTCCCAGTTCCAATGACAGGGAGGGAGGGAGGCGGAGGCGGAGGAGGGCATGATTGGCTGCATCAATATCTACAAGAAGGCAACCTTTGTACAGTGGCACATCCACCTGAGTAAGCTTTGTTTGGTGGCGACGGGATCAGACGGTTCGCTAGCTGCATTCCTGCTCGGGGTCATCCAGCTTGCCTCTTCTGCCCCCTGGAGGTAAGTGGAGAGGGGCCCCCTCTTACCACCAAAGGCAGGTATAGAGAAAGTAGGTAGCAAAGTAAGTTTTCTCTTTCTCTCTCTTAATCATTACTGAAATCAGGAGCCCCATCCAGGAGGTTCAGAACAGCTGTAGGAAAGGACTGCCGCTCCCAATTATCTTGCGGAACATGCTGCCACAAGAGGCTTGTTCACACATCATACTGAGCTCAGCTACAAACTTGTCCCTAGACATTTGCAAGTGTTTGTGTGGAACAGTGTGTGCCCCCTTGATTTGTACAGCTCATCTATTTGCATACAGATTATACACATGTTCGATGTTATTGGAACACCTCTAAGGTAAGGTGTGGGCTGTGGTGACGGTAGCCCCTAGGTTTTAGTGATCTGAAAAGAAGTTTGGGTTAGGATCAGAGTTCTGTCCATGACTACTAGTCATGATGGGGAAATGGAACTTCCACGTTCAGGGGCAGTGTATCTCTGTGCATTCAAGGGTGCCAGTTGCTGGGCAGCAATATTAAGATGTGGCTGTTGCTTCCATGTCCTGTTTATTGGCCTCAGCAGCCAGCAATTGGTTGGCTGCTGTGTTGGGGAGCTCTTTTTATATGAATGTGTGTGCGCGCGCGCATTAATGGAGGATTGACTATTGGCCAAGCATGCTGCCTGTCGGTTCCCTCATAATATCAACATGGCTTCTAGCCATGACAGTTATAGAGCATCTAGGTTCAGGAGCAGTCTATCTTCAAATGCCAATTAGATGGGAAGCAATGGTGGGAGCAGGCAGTTGCTTTCATGCCCTGCCTGTAGGGTCCTTGCAGGTCATTATGGGAAATGGGAAGCAGATATTTCATGGGATCTGGGTCTGATCCAGCATGACTCTTTTATTTTCATTCATACAAAGTGGTGCTCTGTTTGTTTGTTTATTTTATTTTATTGATTTATTTAATTTATTTTATTAATTAAATGTTTATACGTAATCTGAACTTTTCATAAAAGTGTATCAAGTCAACAAAATCATAGTCAGTAAAAAGCAAAATAAAACATAATAAAAAACCCAGTAAAACAACAGTAAAAACCAGTAGGCTAAAAGAAAATTTCATCCTGCAGACGCCTGTCTAAGCGGTATAGTTTTCAGAAGATGTCTGTTAAGAACTTTGCTTCAGGATGAGAACAGAAATCGTGCGGCGGCACACAGCGGCAGCGGGAGGCCCCATTAGCTAAAGTGGTACCTCAGGTTAAGAACAGTTTCAGGTTAAGAACGGACCTCCAGAACGAATTAAGTTCTTAACCTGAGGTACCACTGTACCTTGAACCTGGTATGGTAGCAAAATGGCAATCACTGTAGTTTTCTTCCTGCTCTGATTTGCAGAGAACGACTTGTGTCTTGGCTCCACTGTAGGCTGAGATAATGGCAGCATTCCTTGTCAAAATGATGGTACACCTGCCATGTGTCCCCAGGCAAAGCATTTATTTAGAGCATTTGCAGCCTGCTCTAGAGGAGAAAAGCAAACTCAGGCACCAATTCTTAAACTGACTGCCACAGCCACCAATGGCAGTTTTGTTTATTTAACTACTACTTCTACTACTTTATTATTTCTATCGTGCCCATCTGGCTGTGTTTCCCCAGCGACTCTGGGTGGCTTTCATCAGAACATTAAAAACAGAATAAAACTTCAAACATTAAAAGCTTCCCAAAATAGGCTGCCTTCAGATGTCTTGTAAAAGTCAGATAGTTGTTTATTTCCTTGAAGGGTGGGCATTCCACAGGGCGGGTGCCACCATCGAGAAGGCCCTCTGCCTGGTTCCCTGTAACCTCACTTCTTGCAGTGAGGGAACCGCCAGAAGGCCCTTGGAGATGGACTTCAGTGTCCGGGCTGAATGATGGGGGTGGAAACGCTCCTTCAGGTATACTGGGCCAAAGCCGTTTAGGGCTTTCAAGGTGAGCATTGACACTTTGAATTGTGCTCGGAAATGTACTGGGAGCCAATGCAGGTCTTTCAGGACCTGTACTATATGGTCTCAGAGGCCGCTCCCAGTCTAGCTGCCGCATTCTGGATTAGTTGTAGTTTTACAACTATAAATTGCAAAAAATGTTTTGTGCATCCGTGCCTAATCTCGCCCTGAATGAATGAATCTTTATTTGCGTCAGCCATAGCAATAAAACAACAATACGATATACAAAGAATAGAAATAAAAAGTCAATTATATAAAATACATTTTAGGGTTTTGAATTAAATAGTGAAATACTGGATCTTATTCTGATTGCCCTAGCTAAAAACCTTGCAACCTTTGCTGTCACCTGCTCCTCTTGATCTGCCAAGATAAAGGACACTGTGGCAGTGGTTGGGCGACCCGGAATGGACAATAAAAAGAGGGGTGATAATCTTGCCCTTTTCTACAATTTTTTTATTAGTGTGTGTTTTTCTTTTTGTAAATCTACCAAAGTACAAAATAAAATTGGGATTAAGGTTTTTCCTCAGGACGGTGGAAGGCGTGTGTGCTGTGTGCCGTTGGTGAAGTGGTGGTCTTCTTCTTCTGATAGGACATGCTGGGGTGGAGGGGTGGAATGGGGGTTTGAGGAGGGTTAGCTGACAATGTCCCTATTTTCACCTGAGGAATGTTGGAGGGAATGTTAGACCGGCTTCCTCTTTGTTATCCTTCCACAGGTAGGCTAAGGCCTACCTGTCCAGACAGACCTTTGGAAATTTAAGGAGCAGGCAACACTGATCATTGACTGGGCTGTGATCCAGACAAGCAGGATTTTAGTAACTGGTTCCAAATGTGTTCTGATGTATTTCAGGTATTATTTTTAACTAGTCTGTTTTTATGACTCTATATTTTATAATTGAAGTTTTTAAATGCTGTGATCCACCTTGAATCCCAATTTGGGAGTAAGGTGGGATAGAAATGTAAGAAAGAAAGAAAGAAAGAAAGAAAGAAAGAAAGAAAGAAAGAAAGAGAAAGTAAGTAAGTAAGTCTAGGGAAATTTCCTGAGGGCCAGACAAAGAGGTATGGAGGGCCGTATTTGGTTCTCAGGTCTAAGGGATACAGCAAACATCCCACACACATAGCAGCAACACATTTGCCTCCCCGACGTAATGAGAGTATAGCAATGCTCTACCCATTTCTTAAAGCTCCATCATTTTAACAATCTCATAGAAAAGAGAATTCTGGCCAGGGCAGATTCTCTAGTTTCTGTAGAACTGAGAGGTGATAAACCCTATCTGTAAAGTTCCCTCATCCACAAACGGCGAATGGTTCCGCACCTCATATTCCAGGCAACTATTCTGCTTATGTTTCCTCTGCTTGCTACTATTTCCCATGATCTTTTTTGTTTATATGATGTTTTATTCTGATTTGGTTTCATCAATTGTTTGTAGCTATAAAGAGAAAGCAAGATACGTGTTTATTATAATAATGATTTTAAAAGTGATTTCCAAATAAGTCATGTACAGAGGAAGTAAAAAATAGATGGGCTTAAGTGTGACTAACATCTGGATATGATTATGTTGATACAGTACAAATAAATCATTATTTGGATAAGATCATGTTAACATACAGTACAAATAAATCATATACAGAGCAGACCCATGGAAATCAAAGGGAAAGTATGACTCACATTGCCAATTACATAATTATTATCATCATTATAGGAGCTCTGTCCTCCTTCAGGTGTATTCCTGCCAATCATTTTCTCTACATAAAATAAAAATGGTGAGTGATATCATGGAATGAACTGGCTTAGGTCCAGGGTCTACTTAGGAAGCTGTCATGATGACAGCTAGGTAGACTATTGATCTACCTAGCTCAGTATTGTCTACTCTGATTGGCAGCGGCTCTCCAGGGTTTCAGACAGGGAGTTTTTCCCAGTAGTACATGGGTAGGAATTTAACTTGGGACTTCCTGCATGCAAGGCAAATGCTCTGCCACTGAGCAACGACGCTTCCCTACTTGTGTGGGACACCTACCAGTTGACTACCAATTACAGACCAGGCCCATAGCTCAGTTGAGCATGAGATTCTTAACTTCAGAGTTTCAGAATCGTGGGTTTGAGCCCCATGTTGAAGGAAAAGATTCCTGCATTGCAGGGAGTTGAAGTAGATGACCCCCGTAGTCCCTTCCAACTCTTAAGATTCTGTGACTTTCTATGACTGAGTGACTCTGTGGTTGATATAAGATATAATTATTATTATTATTATTATTATTATTATTATTATTATTATTTATTTATTTATACTCTACCCTTCCCGGTTCAAAAACTGGTCTCAGGGCGGCTAACAACAAATTTAAAACACTTAATTGTAAAAGCAGCATAAAATACAGTATAAAAACATGAATAACAATAAGATTCAAAGTTCAGAAATCACTTTGGGAGAAATCCATATAATAAGCATTGGATAGTCACCAGGGCTAGCTGGCTGAATTAGTCCTACTTGGGCCAGCGAGGAGGCCAGGGGAGAACTAGCTGTGGGGTCTCAGAGCAGGTGATCTTCATAAAAGGGGAGGGGGAGGGAAGAGAAGGGAAATAAAAGATCAGGCTGAATTCAAATTAAAGGCCAGGCGGAATTGCTCTGTCTTACAGGCCAGACGGAAGGAGATTAAATCCTGAAGGGCCCTAGTCTCATGGGACAGAGCATTCCACCAGGTCGGAGCCATCACTGAGAAGGCCCTGGCCCTGGTGGAGGATAGTCTGACTTCCTTAGGGCCTGGGACCTCTAAACTATGGTTATTCATGAACCTTAAGGGTCCTCTGCAGGGCATACCAGGAGAAGCGGGCTCGTAAACACGAGGGCCCTAAGCCACAAAGGGCTTTAAAGGTCCATAAATTTAGGCTGCAATCTTGTACACACTTACCCAGGAGCAATGGAGACTAGTCCATTAGTGCAAATATGGCGCAGTCTCACTGACTTCAGTCTGCCCTCAGCCACTTCCCCCCTTACTGCCTTCCTACTTACAACCAGTCTAGGAGATGGCCCAAGCTGCCAGCTTACTTCCTCTCCTTA